GCAGACGTACAGCACCGAAGCCAATAACCCGAAGGCCCGCAACTCCTTTCGCTACAACGGGCTCATTCACCGCAAGACTGTGGGCGTGGAGCCGGCGGCGGACTGCAAAGGGATCGTGGCGGTCATGAAGCGGGGATCCGGCCAGCGAAAGGCAGCCACTTCCTTCGTGCGGACCACCATCAACAAGAACGCCCGGGCCACCCTCAGCAGCATCCCGCACGTGATCCGAAACAACATACGGATTTGCGTATGGCCGTCATCCGCAGAGCCAGCGCCATCCTGCGCAGCCCGAAGCCTGTGATGGTGAAGAGAAAGCAGACCCGCCCCACGAAGACTTCCTGACAGATCTATCCCCTTCCCCAATGCAATAAAGCTGTCAGCTGACTGGCCTCAAAAAGAAAAAAAAGAGAAACTTTTTGCAAACTGGTTCTATCACTTACTTTACATTTCTATCATGAATGTATGAGTTTCAGTTCCGCTAAGACCTCGCTCTAAGACCTTTAGTGTTATCAGTATTTTTAATTTTTGTCATTCTGATGCGTGTATAATGGTATAAAAACAAATCTTAAGTGTGCTGAGTTTTAAAATGATCAGAGATTTCAGGGTCTTGAGAATTGTCTCTTTGGAAAGGTGCCAAACAAACAGCTGAAGTCTGTATGTTGAAAAGTATAAAATATGAAGTTGCTTTTGAGAAAGTTGATTGAATGAGGTTTTGTTTGTTCTTTAGCCAGAAAAACAGATGATACAATGTCTGCATTAAATGATTTTTAAATCAGTAATTCTTTTTTTCCAGCTGACTTTCAACCTGGAAAAAGAAATTTAACTTTGGGCTACAGGCCAAAAAGTTGGGGAAAAAATGTTGGTCCTGAGGTTAGGGTCTTTAAATCTTGCCTATAGCAAAAACTCTGGTTCTAGAAAAGGTGCGGGGAGGAGGTAAACCTCCCTCTTCTTAGTAAATAACTCATTTTTGCATTGTGTTGCTTCCTCCCCCCACCAAAAACCGTTATACTAAGTTTGGCGATTTTGCATTAAATAACTTTTAAATTGTAGAACATTTTAAAATACCAATTAGATTGGAAATTTTATCATCTTATTTGTTAAAGAATGTAATTTTGTGCTTAACTCTGTAATGGTAGTTATTACAGAATGCAAAATCGAGAATTTGGAAGATGGCATATTTGATTCCAAGCCAGAATTTGAATTTCTGCGCTAAATAGCTAAAGTTTTGAGTACAGATGATATAAACATGAGATTTCAATAGCATATTTGAAATTATAATGTATTTTAATTATATATACAATTTTATATATATATATATATATATATATATATATATATATATCACTGGTGACTTTTATGGAATGGTTCTAGAATGACCCAGATAATCTGTACATTATATAAATCTGCACATGACCTAAATCTGGGTATGGTTGTGTGTTTTTTTTAAATTAATTAATTTATTTATTTTTGGCTGTGTTGGGTCTTCGTTGCGCATGGGCTTTCTCTAGTTGCAGGGAGCAGAGGCTACTCTTCATTGAGGTGCGCAGGCTTCTCACTGCGGTGGCTTCTCTTGTTGCTGAGCACGGGCTCTAGGTGTGCGGGCTTCAGTAGTTGTGGCACGTGGGTTCGGTAGTTGTAGTTCGCGGGCTCTAGAGCGCAGGCCTAATAGTTGTGGCGCACAGGCTTAGTTGCTCCGTGGCATGTGGGATCTTCCTGGACCAGGGCTCGAACCCGTCTCCCATGCATTTGCAGGCAGATTCTTAACCACTGTGCCACGAGGGAAGACCTGGGTATGGTTTAAAGATCCATAATGAAAATTTTTCTAGTTTTTTCTTCAGCGTTATTGGGATATATTTCACATATAATAAAATTCACCCGTTTAAAGTGTACAGTTTTTAAATTTTTTTATTGAAGTATAGTTGAATTACAATGTTGTCAGTGGTTTTTACTATGTTTAAAAAGTTGTACAACCATCATTACAATCTAATTTTAGAATATTTTGAAAACCCTTCCCAAAATCCTTCCCCAAAACCCATTTCCCAACCTTCCCACCCAATCTGTAGCCCCAGGCAACTACTAATGTATTTTATGTGTCCATGAAGTTGTCTATTTTGGACTTTTCATATAAATAGAATCATACAATATGTGTTCTTTTGTGACTGGATTCTTCCACTTAGCTTAACATTTGCAAGATTCATTCATGTTTAGTTGTGGGGTTTTTTTGGCTGTGCCACGTGAGTTCCTGGACGAGGGATTGAACCCGGGCCATAGCAGTTAGTGTATGTGGCAGTACAGTCTTCAGCATGTATTGGTATTATTTTTTGTTGCTGACTCATATTTCATTGTATGGATAGAGCACATTTTACTCATCCATCAGTTGATGGACATCTAGGTTATTTCTACTTTTTAGCTACTATGAATAATGCTGCTATGGACATTCATACACAAATTTTTGTGTGGAAGTTTTCATTTCTCTTGGGCATATACCTAGGAATGACATTGCTGGGTCATATAGTAATCCTATGTCTAACTTTTTGAGGAATAGCTAAAGTGGCTGCACCATTTTACATTCCCAGCAGCAATAATATAAGACGGTTCCAATTTCTCCATATCCAAGCTGACACCTGTTATTGTCTGTCTTTTTTATTTTAGCTATCCTAGTGGGTGTGAAGTGGTATCTGACTGGCTAATGATGGTGAGCATCTTTTCATAAGTTTACTGACCATTTGGGAAAATGTGTATTCAAATCCTTTGCCCATTTTTAAACAGAGTTATTTGTCTTTTTTTTTTTTTTTCCGGTATGTGGGCCTCTCACTGTTGTGGCCTCTCCCGTTGCGGAGCACGGGCTCCGGACGCGCAGGCTCAGCGGCCATGGCTCACGGGCCCAGCCGCTCCGTGGCATGTGGGATCTTCCCAGACCGGGGCACGAACCCGTGTTCCCTGCATCGGCAGGCGGACTCTCAACCACTGCGCCACCAGGGAAGCCCGAGTTGTCTTTTTATTGTTAAGTTATTAAGTTATTGTAAGAGTTCTTTATATATTTCAGATCCAAGTCCCTTGTCAAATATATAACTCACATTTTCTTGTCGTTTTACTTCTTTTGAGGCACAAAAGTTTTGATAAAGTATAATTTCTTTTCCTTTCATCACTGTGCTTTTAGTATCATATTTAAGAAACCACTGCCTAATCCATAGTCACAAAGATTTACTCCCATGTTTTCATCTAAAAGTCAGACTCCCTAAAACTGCCTTAAGGCCAGCCAAGATAATAAATTAGAAGCAGTACCACATCTTGGACAGAATGGTGGAAATGAGTGCCACTCTCAAAGGTTTAAAGGATGAGGGGTGGTGGTCCCTGTTAAATCTCCATTTAATTCACCCGTTAGGTCCTTGCAAAAACCAGATTGATCCTGACAGACAGTGGACTAACAGAACTTAAAGCTGCAGGGCTGGAGGTAGAATCCTTACTAGAAGAGATCAACACAGACTGGCAGTTATTATCTGGCACAATGTATTCTTTTTCATCTTCATCTGGAAGGAGTGGAGCACTCCCACAGTGCCTGCAGCAATTCACATCCAAGGGCACATTACTTCTTTGCTCTCCGTCTTAATATACTCTAGAGTCCTTAATTCTCTCATCATTGAGCAGATTATCCTCCCAAAAGAGCTCAAAGTAACTCAACTGTCATAAATCCTCTCTCTGGGAGCTCACAGAGAAGTCTGACTCTTATTACTGAGTAACACCCAACCAAAGTCACAAAAACTAGCAGGTCTCCCATCTGATCTCCTAAGGGCCCATCTGACTTTCCGAAAAGTCATTTGTTTTCCCTTATGTGCTCTTCCTCTCCCCCTTTTCACCTTCAAATAAGCCATCTGTTTTCCCTGAAGTGTCCTTCTCCCCTCATCTATTAAAACGGTATATAAAGAATTCTGCCAGCACTAAGAGGCGCTGACAGGGATGAAGTTAGGAGGCTAGTAGAAACAGTTCAATCTAGAAAGAATAAGGTCTAGAACTGCCAGCCGCAGCAGGAGGGATGGCGAGGACCAACCAACCTGAGTGAGTGACGGGTAATTTTACAGCGACCCAGAGATACAATTTCTAACAATATGTTTTTCCCCTACGATTGATAACAGATCAGATACACCCAGGGTTGCCACTAGCACCTCGTATCTTTTCGGCTGTTATAAAAAGGGAGGGGGAGTAGCTTTTGATTTTACCTAAATCTCTTTTTGTTGCAGTTGTCCAATCTGCCTAGATTTATAGCAGTTGGCAGAGCAGTAAAAATCACCCGGGGTATTAATAATTATGACATTATTAAAACTAATTTTCGAGCGTCAAGTCCATTTGGGGTGTCCTGCGACTGGGCGGCCCAGACCCAGTGGGGGCAATTCTAAATTTATAAAAGTTCCCAGAGCGAGAGAGAATAGTGGAGCGGCAGGGATTCTGCACACCGAATCCCACCCGCGTCCAGTACGTTGCGTGTTCGGGGACGTGCGCCAGCACCGCATTTCCAAACAGCCCGAGACCACGTGGGGACCTGCAAGCACCGCTACTGGCCCTTAGACTCCCAGTCTTAGCTTTGGCGCCGAAGTTTTCCCCCCTTGTGGTCGAAACCATTGGCTCCACGCTCAGAGGGAATACGGGCCAACCTCACGAACAAGGCTCTTGTCCGAGTGAAGCTTCCGACTAATTCTCAGGAAGAAATCATCTAAAACTTGAGAAATCAAATGAAATTCACCTAAATACATCGAATAAGGGCTCCTTTTGCCAAAAAGAAAGAGCAGATCTCACCTTGATTCCCCCTACGCTCCTTGGGGGCTGTGAGGGTGGTTCCGTCCGAGGCGGGGACTCCGCCTCCTTGGGCGCCGCCATTTTGTTTGGCTAGAGGGGAGAGAGCGGCGCTTTGGGGGGAGGGGTCTCCTAGGCGCCTCACCTGAACCTGCTGCCGAGTTGTTGGTTACCTCGCGGGAGGCCTTCTCCCCGGCTTGGGGCGAGGAACCATGTACATAAAGCAGGTGAGGCCTGTGTGTCCCTCCCACACTTCACGGGCCCGTGAGGACCGCTCCTTGAGGCGGGGGTGTCGCTTCTCCCCGCAGGGTGGGCGCGGGGCTGGACTGGGACTGGGTGGGAGGGGTGTGGCTCCGGCCCGCAAGCGCAGAGGCCGCGGAGAATTGGGGCGCCGCTTTGCAGCCCAGGCCTCCCCGCAGGGCGCTCGCCTGAGGGAGGCGGGCTCTCGGGGAGAGGGGTGGAGGGGTCAGCGGGGCGGGCCCTTTGGAGGGAACCGGGCCTTCCCGGGAGGGTGAGAAGCGGCCCTGTCCTGCGGGACCGGCTAGCCCCCCGTGGGCCTTTTGCGTGGGATGTGTGGAGAGAGGGTCTCCCCAGCTACGGGGACGCCCCTGAGGCCCAAGCTGGGGTGTCTCCCGACTTAACCGGAGAAGTGAAAGGGCTCCTCGTTCCTGCTG